ATAACAGGAAACTCCAAAATATAACCGAGACTAATACACGTCATCAGGCCCGTGGGTCATGTTGATCAATTGCCCGCCAGGTCGTCCTATGGCCCATGCGGGTACCATGCGGGCCTGACCCGTGACCGACCGACCTGACCCGTTATTGTCGGAGTCTTGTATCAATTGCATGTATGTGCGTATGCAAAATTGCATAATAGATAAAATTGGTTACATTGTCAGATTACGATAATCGGACCAATTTTACTGACCCATTTTTCACGGGTGATGCTCATTTCGCCCAACGACAGCCTATTTCACCGACAGTCAATTCGCCAACAAGTTTATTTCACCGACAGTTATTTCACCGACATTCATCTCACCGACAAAGTAATTCTGGTCATTTTCGTTAGGGTCAGTTGGAATTAGAGTTAATGTTAGTGCAACTTTAAAAAAAACCTTGTCTGTGAAATGGGCTGTCTGTGAAATAGTTGTCGGTGAAATAAACTTGTCGGCGAATTGATTGTTGGTGAAATGGGATGTCGGTGAAATGACACGTACTCTTTTTCACTTTAGTTTGGAGATCTACGCCAATTAGCCAATCAAATCGTAAACGTTTATGGAACAAAAACACTGTAAATGAGAGTTTAAATCTATCATAAGGTACTAATAAAAAATGTCGGGGTGAGCAATTTTATTACAACAATTGTCCTAACTTAACCTCAAACCAGTTCTAACCAAAATCTTACGTCATTACTTTGGATTGGATATACTTTCAAATAAGGCAATTTGAGGATAGTCGGTAAAATTGATCCGATGAGCGTGTAACAGTTATAATACGTAAGCCCATATTTATTTCTACTACTGCGTTTTTTTTCATAATCGTTTTTAAAATGCTGAAATTACCAACTGAATGCTTGTTCAAAATATTTAATAATTTACGGGATTATCCTAGATTCTTGTTTTCATGCCTTCTCGTAAATCGTCACTGGTGTAGAATTATAGTACCAATACTATGGAATAAGCCAAATCTTTACAATAAAACATTTATAAATACGTGCCTTTTAACATTAAATAATGAAGAACAAACATTATTAATCCCTTTTAAAATTAACCTTCCAAATGATCCAAAACCATTATTTGAATACACAAGTTATATTACAACTGTTAAATATGATTTACATGATGGAATCATAAATTGGATTGATGAGAATTACGATTATGGACTTATAAATGCTATTAAATGGTCTTTAATTGCGATGTTTCTACGAACAAGTAGGAATCTTAAATATTTAGAAATTAAAGGGACAATTTACAATAAAGTACTTAAAAATCTTTTTAAAAAGAATACTATTAATCATTTATGTATTAAGAGTAATTTTGATTCTAAAACAATCAAAGTATTAGTAGAAGCACTTCATCTAAATACTATAAATTTTTTACATATTAGTAATATTGGTAATGAAGGTGGAAAAGCATTAGCAGAACTACTTTGTAAAAACGATACCCTAACTTCTTTAGACCTTTCTCGTTGTAGAATTAATTCTTGGGGAGTAAAAGCATTAGCATGTGCACTTTGCAAGAATACTACTTTAACTTTCTTAAATCTTTCTTATAATCGTATTAAAATGGAAGGAGGAAAAGCATTAGCAATGGCACTTCATAAGAATGCTACTCTAACTTTCTTAAATCTTTATCATAATAAAATTAGTGATGAAGGTGGAAAAGCATTAGCAGCAGCACTTCATACAAACACTACCCTAACCTCGTTAAGTATTGCCAATAATGAGATCAGTGATGAAGGAGCAAAAGCGTTAGCAGAAGCACTTCTCATAAATACTACTTTAATTTCTTTAAATTTTAGTTATAACGACATTACTTTTGAAGGAGAAAATGCATTTACAGCAGCACTTACTGTAAACACTACTTTAATCAATTTCTTTAATTTGTATCGTGAATTTTTTTAATTAGTATTGAAGGTGAAAAATATTTGTAAAAACACTTTGTAAGAATATTACTCTGGCTTCTTTAGAGCTTTCTATTAATAAAACCAAGAGTAAGGAAATAACAGAATTGGATGTGCTTTGCAAGAAGAATATAAAACTTACTTTTTTAAATCTTTCTTATAATTTTATTGGAATTGAAAGTGAAAAAGTAGGGATGGTTCGATCTTCGTAAAGATCGGAACCAGACGAATGATTTTGGTCCTTGGTCCGAAATCGTCCGCCCTGGTCCTGATTATGGTCAAATGATTAATAATAACTGATAAATTAATAAATTTTCATAACTCTTCCAATTATGAGTAATGACAAAATTTCCTCGTTTTCATTCAATGTTTTTGTTTTCGAATGTGTTGAAATGCATAATAGTCCTCTGATTGACGAAATAAGTGCTGAAGTCCTGATTCTTAGTTAACCTATATAATTGATCAACGGCCTTGCAACATTTCAATTCAAATCAGCACATTTGCGATAAATGTAGACCCTCGACCTTACGAAGGCATTTAAGTTTACATGGAATAATTGCACCTACATGAGGACAAATGATCAAAAATAGGAATTGAAATATAATTATTATCAATGGTATTTTTTGTTTTAAACAACTCGGCTGATTTGAGGAATCTCTTAATTGATATGGGTTTTAAAAACAAGCTCGTATCGGAACCGGGATTTTCGAATAAGGTCTAATTTTTAAAAAAATAATTGGAGTTTTAGATAAAGGTCAAATTCCAAGAATTCGCTGGTCTAATTTATACGTATTGGATATGTATTTAGTTCTTAATATTAAATGAGCACCATATATACATATAATATATATTCATATTTATATGCGCTATATTTTTTATAATATTGTATTTCGCGGGCCAAACAACCCCTTGCACAATTTTTTACAGTTTTATATACGTTGGCAGTTTAATATTATATACTAGTGCAAATTTTACGTTTACATTGTTGTATTAATTATACTAATACTGTATTGATAACAAATATAACTACCAATTAAACTGTCTAGACAATAACTGTTAAATATTTTGCAATACGGTAGGGTGATTCAGAATTAACTTATTTCTAACAAACACGTAGGAAACAAACATGTCACTATTTTATTCAAAATCAGCAAAATTCTTAATCACCCTACTATAAAATTATTACTTGGCTGTTAACAATACACTATATTTTTTATAATATAAATTTCAGGCCTACTGAACAATCGTTGTGAGAAATTAATTACAATTATTTTATCACCAATCGGTTACTGTAATTGATTTTCTGATAAATTATTTAAATTTGACTGAGTGCGTGAGACTGATCTTAGAACCGAAAGACAGACCGACCGACCAGACTAATAAATACTATAAAATATGTTCCAAGGGGACTAGGACCAACCAAGATGGACTTAACCCCTGAATTGCAAAAGTTCGTTAATGTTAATGGAACGCATGTCAATTAAGAAAGATAAACATTTATTATATACACAAATCTGCTTGATTACGTTTCAAGAGTTTTATTAAAAATTCTGGGGGTACATTTTTTTGACCTTTTTTTAAAGTCAGGGGTTAGCTTTGGTGGAATTTATAATAAACAAGTATAAGTGGGTTTTGGTAGGTTTTATGTTTGGGTATAAAAAAATATAGATACGTTAATATTTATATTGACCTTTGACTAATCAATAATCATTTATTAGGTCGGGCTCATGTAGACAAATTGATGATGGCAACAAGAAATGACTTAGACACAGTGGTTAAGTAAAGGAGGTTTCTATTTGAGGTATTTATGGGTGTTGATGCTCATAGAATTTCAGGTGAGGGATAGAGAGGGCTAGAACGTCAGAATGCGATATTAGTGTCGTAAATTATAATAACTACATAATCATATTTATTTTTGCATGTGTATTTCACTTTTACATATTATATATAGAGCTTCGGATTCGGATTCGTTATTCGAATAAAATTATCTAAAATTTATTCGATAAACTGTTCGATAATTAGTTGATACAAACCATTAACAGCTCTAACAAATAAGCAATAATTACGCTCATCAATTGATAAATGATTGATTAAATATTATCGAAAATAAGAGGAGCAAATAACCTATATCTTTTAATCAATAAAATAAACATTATATTATACTAAATATAAATAAGGAGAAGTATAGTGGCTGTAAAAAAAAAAAAAAGATTCAGAAAGATAACATGCAACAAACTTTTTCCGTATTTCAGAATGGTTAATTCATGCTTCAATTTGGTTTAAAAGAATGCTAATGTTCTTATCATCACTTAAAACAAAAATTATTGAAAACAGATCATCAGTTCATAAAAAACCGGTATTATTTCGACAAAACAATTTCTTATTTTCGACTCAAATTTTAATATTTAGCATCGTTTTAATGCCTATAGTTCACGTTCTGTGCCGTACCATTTTAAATAATCCTACAGTTTATAGCATTCGTTTAAGCACAAAATCATTGTTGAATCAGCTGTTTTCAAGTTGTAAAACATAAAATGCAATATGTACAATTATCCGCAACTAGAATCGAAACGTGAACGCAACACAAGATATTCGAAAATAATGGAAAAAGGCCGGAAGCTTTTCAAAGAAATTAATACTAGTTATACTGATTATAATGGATAATTGCCTAGCTCTCAATAGGTAGGTAGCTTAAGAAAGAAATACATGCAATACTGTGATAGCAGATAACCATCCCAGCAGCATATATACATTTTATGTATATGGTCAAGGTCGATGTACTGTACATATATATGTTAATTTTGAGCAGTGTTTTTAGTAAAACGCTTTATTACAAACCATTTTACAAACCAAAAAATCCACACCATTATTATATTATTATAAATTCTTATAAATAATCGTCTATTACTACAGTGGTACCACTTAAAGCCAACATAATTTATTTGTCTAAATTCTAAAATTCAAAATTCACAATAACATCTAAAAAAACTTACCTTACCTATTAAGTCTTACCTGCAAGCTTAATAAATGACTTTTTATTATTCAAAAATTACAATCATAATTCGTCAACAAAAGCAACCAGTTCTTTATTTTCTTCAACTAAATCACCAACGTTATAATACACTTTTTCAATCTTGCCAGTAAATGGAGACTTTATAACATGCTGTTAATAATATATTTAAAAAAATTTAAATAATTGTACAGCAACAATTATATATTTATGAGTTATACATAAATATTACCTCCATTTTCATTGCTTCTAATACCAATAAAGGCATTCCCTTTTCAACTGTTTGTCCAGGTTGAACAAGTACCTTTATGAAAACATATAATTTAACATTATTAATTAGGAAATTAATTAGAAAGGCAAAATCATTAAAATTCTTAAAATTTGTTTAAAACCTGAGAAATTTTGCATGGCATTGGTGTTTTAATGGAATGTGCCACATCTAAAACAGCTGAACTAAGATATAAAGGCTCTGGGATGTATAAAACTATTTTTCCATCCTAAGTTAAAATATAAATTAATATTTCTTATATATACAAAAAAAAATATTTATGCGTTAATCATATAAATAAATCACACAAACTCGATCAAATATAACCATTTTATTATTTTTTTCCATTATGATACGACTTTTAAATCGTATACCATCAATATCTGCCACAACCTGCTTCTCTACTTCATCCCATTGACCAGTAACACGTTCAAATGTAATTAAATTATCTTTTCCATGATGAATAGTAATGTCAAATGAATTATCCTGCAAATATTTTATGTCAACGGGTATATGAACATCATTTTGATCATGGAATAAAATATTTCGTTCGTGTATTGCATTTAGGCGATAGCCGAAATATAATCCCCAAGGTGAATACGGATCTATAATCAAATGACTGTTATTTAAAAAATAAGATAATATTTGAGAGCTGGTATTCATACCCCAGAAAAATAAAAAAAATTCAAACTTCAAGCAAAGCTATCTCGATGACCACCTAATCAATCTTGATGAAATTTTTTTATTTGAATTTTACAGGTTTGTAGAACTCATAAAAAAATTTCATCAAAATTGATCAAGTGGTTGTTGAGATATCTTCATTCAAAGTTAGAGAAAAATCAAACAAACATATATCAAAATAGAAGCTGTGCTAAATTATTTTTAAAATTTTGAATGAAGCTATCTTGATAATCACCTAATCAATCTTGATGGGATTTTTTTTTTATTTGAATTCTACAGGTTTGTAGAATTCAAATTAAAAAATTTTCATCAAAATTGATCAATTAGTTGTCGAGGTATCTTTGCTCAAAATCAGAAAAATTAAAACGTCTATCAAAATAGAAAATGCTGAATTACAATCAGACCTCTCTAAATGCATAACCGTGGGGCGGCCAAAAAATCTTGCATTTAGAGAGGTAAAAATCCATAAGTATCATATGGGTTGGGGACAAAAAAGGCCATGCATTTAGAGAGGTCTTTCATAGACTATGCATTTAAGGAATATGAATTTAGAGAGGTCTGACTGTATTTTAAAACTTTGAGCGAAGATGTCTTTGCTCAAAGTTTTAAAAATGATTCGGCGCAACATCTATTTTGATAGACGTTTTGATTTTCTCTGACTTTGAGCAAAGATATCTCGACGACCATCTGATCAAATTTTTTATTTGAATTCCACGAACCTATAGAATTCAAATAAAAAAAAAAATTTATCAAGATTGATTAGCTGGTCGTCGAGATATCTTTGCTTGAAGTTTAAAAAATTTGTTTTTTTTCTGGGTATGAATACCAAATGTGGGGTATGAATACCAGCCTCCTAATGATTATATTACCAAATGATCCGATAGCAGTTTTCTTTAATTCTTGATGCTCCTTCAATATTAATGATAAAACGGCTTGAACAATAGCATAAGACGATACTTCTGGGTTTGGTGCAAATAATTCTTTTTCGTGTTTCTAAAAAATGAAAATATGAGAAATGATACGTCATTTTGATGAGTACGTAAAAATATCTTACCGCGATAAATCCAGTTTCAACATCCCCTTGTATGAAAGCAGGATGTGAAACTATTCTTTTCAAAAATTCTATATTTGTACTTAATCCAACAATCTTTCAACATTACGTTAGAATATATTAGGTAAGGCCATATAAATAAATAATGCTAAGCATGTAAATAAATAACCTTGAGTAAGCAACGAACCTCATATTCTTGCAAGGCTTTTCGTAATATGCGTAATGCTTCCGTACGATTTGTGCCCTTGGTAATCAATTTTGCAATCATAGGATCATAGTAAACATTAATCTCATCTCCTTGCTCAAAACCAGTCTCTAGTCGAACATTTGATGAAGCTGTTGGTGTACGAACATGAAGCAATGGTCCAGTGTCAGGAAGAAAATTACTGTAACAAGAAAAAAAATATTAAAGAAAATGTTCTATTCAAATAAACAAATTTAAATTTAAATTTCGAAAAATCGTATATACTTTTCTGGATTTTCTGCATATATACGAGCTTCAAAAGCATGACCATCAAGACTAAGTTCATCTTGCGTCATAGGTAATGGATTTCCAGAGGCTACCTATAAACAAATTTATTTCAAAAAATAAGTACAGATATCGCAATTACAGTAAAGAAAAATATATTTACCTCCAATTGCCATTGAACTAAATCTGTAGAAGTAACCATTTCCGTCACAGGATGTTCAACTTGCAGTCTTGTATTCATCTCCATAAAATAAAATCGTTTGTCTTTATTGTCCATTATAAATTCAACGGTACCCGCACCAACATAATTAACGGCTTTAGCTGCGGCAACAGCCTTTACACCAAGTTCTTGCCTTATCTCTTTACTTAATCCTGGCGCTGGTGCTTCTTCTAAAATCTTTTGATGCCTCCTTTGAACAGAGCAATCTCTTTCAAAAAGATGTACAGCATTCCCTTGCATATCTGCAAAAATTTGTACTTCAACATGACGTGGTGTTTCAAGATACTTTTCAATAAGAACTTGATCATCAGCAAAAGATTTTATAGCTTCTCTTTTAGAAGATTCAAGTTGAATTTCGAATTCTGATGAATCATTAACAATACGCATTCCTTTTCCTCCACCACCTTTTATAGCTTTAATTAAAACTGGATACCCAATTTTTGATGCTTGTTCCTTAAGAAATTTTGGATCTTGATTTGTTCCATGATATCCTGGAACGACAGGGACGTTTGCAGCAATCATGATATCTTTCGATTCACTATTTAAGTACATATTGCATGTTATATTATCGTGTTTGTCTTGTTAATAATATTATTAAATAAATAATGAAATGTTTACCTTTTTGAACCCATAGAAATCATTGCTGATACTGGTGGACCAATAAATATAATGTTTTCATTTGCAAGACGTTCTGCAAATTTCGGATTTTCCGATAAAAACCCATATCCTGGATGAATAGCCTAAATTTAAATAATTATAATAATAATAACAATTAAATTCTCTTTTTTTTCATAACAGTCTATATTCTGTAAATTTATTCCAAATACCTGTGAACCACTTTCTTTGGCCACAGCAATTATTTTTTCAATATTTAAATAACTTTCTGAAGAAGGTGCTGGTCCAATTAAATATGCGTCATCCGCCTATATTAACAAAGTGAAGATTTTAGCTGCATATTAGTTTATTAGTTATAAAAAAAACAATAATAAGAATTACAAGAAACCTACCATTTTAGCATGCAGTGAATGTTTATCTGCTTCGCTGTAAATTGCAACAGTCTTTATTCCCAAATTTTTAGCTGTACGAATCACACGACAAGCAATTTCACCTCTAAAAAGAAAATTACATTTAAAAAGTGATGAATTAAACTTTGTATCTTACAAATCATGTAATAAAATAAATAATGAACCTCTACCGGTTTGCAATTAGAATTTTATCGAATAATGGTTTATTAACTATGGCATTATTTGATTATATATATAATAAAATTTAGCATTCTTTATAGTGTTAGATAATGAAGAAGAGATTGTGTACCTGAATTAGTTGAAAAGTAATTATGATTACAATCATTCAAAAATAGCTTCTTTAAAAACAAAGTAGATTGGAATGCATTTTTTTTTATTGGATAAGTAAATTTATATAAAGATGGACTGATAATTATTGGAGTTCGAAATACTCGATGCATCTTTTTCAAAGAGAGAATGTACAAGATTATGTGAACGATAAAATTATCATGCACTGTAAGTAATTAATCACCATATTGGCCAATTGGGCCTCACAAGTGACCCCAAAATATTTACAGATTTTTTTTTGCTAAAAATTGCCCATAACTCAAAAATCCACATAAGAAACCATCTTTAGTGTTCTAACAAAAAGTTTTTCTTGAGCAATTTTACTATCTACCTTGTTGGCAGCAAATCCCAATATAAACACTAACCCTAATATTAAGAATTATGTTACCGAAAATTTTTTGGTGTTCTTGGGGTATTTGGCGTAAATTAAAGGAGACACCCAATTCGGATAATTTTTAAATTATCGTTATGCAAAATCACATTTTAGGTGAATTATGCTGGACACTCTAGGGTAGGTACGTGGTATTATATGCCAGGTTTTAAAAAGTTTCGAACATCATGTGACAAATACATCGAACACTAAAAATTCATATAACTTAACAAAAAAATACAAACCAAAAACATTTTAGACTAACAAAGTAATAACGATAAGTAATAAATTAATCATTTTATTTATTTCAAATAACTCAATAAATGTAATGGCACAAAGTTTTTATTAATACTATCAAGCCATTTATTACTACTTGTTTTTTCAATAATTTTTTGTTGCTGCATCCTGGATTCAAATAAATAATCAGTTATAATCTTACGGAAGAGCATTAAAAATAAAATCTACAAGATTTTCTGGTTCAATTGTATTTTCTTGATTAGTTTTTATAATTTTATTTCGAATTTCTTTCTCTTTCGTTTATTCTTAATGGAAATTTGGTCACGGCAATTAACATATACTTTTAGAATAGTGTGTTTATTGGATTTTATGCTTTTAACGACCATTTTTCACTTTAAAAATCGAAGAAAAAAATCGCTTACTAAATCAATTATGTTAGTATTTTAATAAATATTATTATGATCTAATCATGATAAATTGACAATATAACTGTATACCAGTATTTGAAAATCTGAAAATAAATTAAGAATGATGGCTGGTTGGATAATTATGATAACAACAATAATAATCAAAATAGAAAGGACACATTATAATTTTTATCTTTAAATAATTTATTTTTGAAAACTTATTAACAAGGTTTATATAACAGTAATATTTTGCAAAACATACATAAACTTTAATATAAACAAATGTAAAACTAAAAAGTTGTATTTAGTTTATAAAAAAATTAATATTAATATAAAGCATTGATATAAGAAAAAAACTTAAAGTAATCAAACATATTTTTTATAACTTTTTAATTTTTTTTACATGTAATATATATAATAAATTTGTAATAAATTCAAATTTATATAAAAAACAATATATTAGCATTTTTTGATCAAATATTTAATACTAATATTAACTAATCAGAAGCAATTTTTAGCTTTAACTAAATTTCATCACCAAATGTTGATGTTTTAAAAAAAGAGTTAAACTAATAAAAAGCATTTAAAACTAATTTAAAATATTTTTTTACTATTTCTAATTATAATAAAAAAAATTATAATTTAACTAATAGTTTTAATAATTTAACTTTATAAAAAAATCTACGATAAATAACATATTTTGTTTAATATAAAACTTTTTTCCAATTTTTATTTTTTAAAAATAATTATTATTATATTATAGTACCTTTAAATTTTTTAAAATTTAGAAGTGTAACGATTTAGTAAAGTAGTTAGATTGTTTACTTCTAGGTAGCAAATCTAAAGTTCAAATTTTACAGATAATAAATTTTGGAAATTATATTTGTGTTATTGTAATTGACTCTGTTGATCAGTTGAATTGATGTATCTGTAACCTTTAATTACATCATCTTAAATAAGAGCTTAGAGCATTTGTGTAAACTGTAATATTATATATATATAAAGGAATGCTATAACTAGTGTTGTATAAGATTTTAATACAAATCTATAATAAAATCACTAGATACAGAAAGTGAAGAAACTAAGAAATTAAAAACCTATTTGGAAATTTTGAATAAAAAAGTAATATAACCATCAATCAGGCTGTTAGAAGTCTTGAACCAGAGGAAAAAAATCTTGAAAACAGACTTTAAGATATCAGAAATATATTATAATTCTTTTAGATTATCTGAATTAGGAGTTTGAAGTTAAAAGCAGAAGTATACTATAAGTACTAGAAATATACTATGAAGTTAATGCTGAGGTTTGGATAAATTCTGCAAGAGTGAGTCCTGTTAACAAAAAAAATTAAATATGAGTAGTTAGTTAGCAGAGGAGCATCTTGAAGCCTTATAGTTAGATGATATACTCTGAAATATGTAACAGCTTGATGGATATACAAAAAAGAAAATCAAAATTAGATTAGACAGCACTTAGATATATGAGAACTTGTGTGCTATTTTTCAGTATAAATATAGAAATTAAAGTGTTTAAATAGGTAAACTCCTAGTAGATTGCAGATATGACAGCTAGTATAAAACCTGCTATATAAGCAGACTATGTAAAATAAATAATCAAAAGTTATATATGTAGCTAGTTGTATATTTACCTTGTACAAGCTATGTAATCATAATTAAACTACAATAAAGACAATAATTATCAATAACTACAATTTTAGTAAAAACAAAAAAAAAAGTAAAGAAATAATATAAACTTTAGATAGTACTATTAAACTAATAGAAACTTATAAAAAACTTTTAGTAAAAATAAGAGATCAACTAGATAATAAAATGTATAGAGGAGCATATAACTAACCAGACTGCTAGAATTGCTAAAAAAAAAAAATACTAAAATATATTATACTGGGTTATCTGAATTAGAAATCTAAAAAGTTCTATTAGTTCTTAGTTAAAGTTAGTAGAAGACAATAAAGAAGATGTTAGAAAGATAGATATTAAGGTTTGGGTGAATCTTATAAGAACATAGCAGTTTAATAGTTAGTTCTAATTGCAGTACTGGTTTAAGTTAAGAATATAACAGTTTAATAGTTAGTTCTAATTGCAGTGCTGGTTTAAGCCAAAGAAATATTGAGTTAGCTATAAGTATAGAATACAAAAGGCTTTAATGAGTTTAATACAAAATTAAATATAACTTAGTAATTATAATATATTTTTATCAGGTTACTAGAATTGTTAGTAGGATAAGATAGATATGAGATCAGAGTATTTAAATAAAGAGCTTACAAATAGGTTTTAGATATAATAACTAGTATAGAAACTTCAGACAGACTACTTAAATTAAACAATAACTAAAGTTATATAAATGACTAGTTGTATGCTTTTTCTATAATTGCTTTTATGTTTGTTATATAACAAATGCTAGCTAATATATATTATTAATAAATTCTGAGTCACAAATACTCACTTTAATATTAAAAAAAAAGTTTTTTAAAATTTTTTATTTATTATAAAATTAATAAAGTTTTAACTGTTTTTTTTTAAGATAACTTCTTTGATATTTTGAATTTTATTAATGACTTTTTTGATAATATAATTCTATAAACTATTACAAAAAGAGTATACAATTAACTACATGTATAATCTTTTTATATTACTTATTTAATAAGTTCATCTAAAGGTTTTTTACCAATTGCTGTATCTAATATTTCTGCTTAAATGTTCTATTTTAAACTCTCTAAAACTGTAGCTTGTATTAACATTACTAGGTCATATTCAAATCATTGTCTTAATTTTAGAATTATTTTATCTTTAAAATAAACTTCTCAGAACCTTTTGTATTTATTTTTATAGTTAATTTTATATTGCTATAACAAGATCAACACTTGTAATTAGGATTTATTATTAAATTATTGAGTTTTTGTAAAGTTCACTTAAAGTCTAGTATTTACTTTATAGCATATTCTTAGCACTTTAGTATATTTCTACCTATTTTTCAAACTTCTAATTCAGATAGCTTATATAAGATTACAACTAGTCTATTAATGTATTAAATTGGTCTAATATTCTTTTTTTTAGTTTATTCTAGTAGTCTAATTTGTGATATCTCTTATTTGGAAATTTTTATTTGTTTAGATACTTTAACATTTATATTTATTTTTAGTAGTCTAGTCTTTACAGTAGCACTATTAAAAATTTATACTATCTTATTATTTGGGTCTTTTTAAATAGATTTCTTGTTTCTTAATTCAACAAATTTACATAATTACAAGAAATTATTTGGAGTTTATACTACCTGATGCTGGTTTGCATTCTTCTGTATAACCAGTTACACAAATGCTTTATAATTTGCCAGTTATATTAATATAGCTATGATTATAAATATTTTAATCTAATTATTAGAAACAGTTGTTATAATATAAGTACTACATAGATGATTATCTAAATTTTCATTGTTAATTAGACTTAAATACTTAATTTATTACTTGAAAGGTTAACAACTTATCTATTTTACTAAGTTATTATATCTCTTTTTTAACTGTTTTTATAAATATTATAAATATATAATTATTTATAAATTTTTTTTTTTGGTGTTAAGGTGAGGCCTTGCTTATATCTTTATTAGTAATTTTAGTTGTATATATTTTTTTTTTTTTTTTTTTTTTTTTTTTTTATAATGCCAAATCGTAACCTATATTTTATTAGCTTTTTGCATTACTATTACATATATGATTACATTACATTT